GGAGTGCAGTGGTGCAACCTTGGCTCACTGCAAGCTCTGCTTCCCAGGTTCATGCCATTCTCCTGCCTCAGCCTCCCGAGTAGCTGGGACCACAGGCGCCTGCCACCATGCTTGGCTAATTTTTTTGTATTTTTAGTAGAGACAGGGTTTCACCATGTTAGCCAGGATGGTCTCGATCTCCTGACCTTGTGATCTGCCCGCCTCAGCCTGCCAAAGTGCTGGGATTACAGGCGTGAGCCACCGCGCCCGGCTGCCCACACTGATCTTAAACTCCTGGGCTCAAGCAGTCCACCTGCCTTGGCCTCCCAAAGTGCTGGGATTACAGGCATGAGACACCGCGCCCTGCCCAAACAGGTTTTTGTTAGATGGATGAGGAATAAGGAAAATTAAAACAAACAAAAGGAATAAGGAAAATAGCAGGTTTCTCACTAATTTTGTGTGTTTCAAATAAGTCTACCGTAAAGCATTAAAACAAATTCTTTTAGCTCATTCTAGGCAGTGATGACTTAGGGAATTCAGTTCCTCAACCTTTGCTCAGATCCTGCTTCACTTGCTGTAGGCTTTGCAGGGGGACCTTTGATGGGTCAGCCGGACATGAGGCTGGGAGAAGTGATGGTGGACGAGGACGGCTGGGGGAGCAGGGACCCACCTTCCTGATGTCTGACTGTGCTAGCCGGGGCTGATGGTGAGTGGGCTCGGGACAAGCAGAGAGGGACCCCAGGTACTCCCTAAACCCGCAGACGAAGAACATGGAGGCCAAGGAGAGCACAGAAGGTTCCAGATGCTTCAGGCAGCTTTTATTGGGCTGGCAGCTGGCATCTCACAGTCATGGACCTGCCTGGTTCCAGCCCCTGGCTCCCAGCCTTGCCCACGGGAGGATTCACAGGCCGCTGGGCGCTGGGTGCTACCTGTGTCCATGGCTGCCCGCATGAGCTCCGGGCAGAGCAGGGGGCCTCGGGCCTGGCATCCTCTGCGGTTAGTGAAGGAGCAGGGACTGCCCGCCTCCTCCTCAGATGTCCAGGGCTGGACCTGAAGTGGTCTCGCTACTGGAGATTATGAACATGCTGCCACTTGCCGCCGACGTGCGGGAGGGAATGGACCACTGATGTTCTCCGAGGCCCAAAGTGCCCACCCAGCCCCGCCTGGGCAGCAAGCCCCCAGCCCTCTTTTGGGGACTCCACTCACCCGTGGAGAGAGGCTCAAAGGCCAAGAGGCCTCCCGGCCTCCCAGTGGTGGAGTGGCCACAAGGGACTCCATGAACACCGTCCACATCGCAAGTCATGTGACTCCCCCATGGTGCCTCCTAGAGGCCAGCTCTTCCCAGTGTGGGGTTCCAGGAGCTATAGCTTCCCCCGCCACCACTGGGGCTGTGGCCCTCCCATCCCAGCCGCCAGGCCGGCTTTTTTCTCCCCTCTCCTCCCTGCAGGGGCTGTGCAGCCCCTGTTGCCTGGGGGCCAGGCTGTGGGTGACACAAGAAGCCGCCCAGGTGAGGCAGGCTTGGACCTGCCTGCTGCAGGGTGACTGCAGGGCAGGGCAGGGCATGCCCGCTGGTTGGATCCCGGGAACCTGATAGACCCCAGCCCTGCTGGGACAGGCTCTGGCCACTCTAGCCCAACATCAACCCCTGCCACTCCATCAAGGTCCCGGGACTTTCTGGTCCCCTGAATCCACACAGCCTCTTCCTGACCACCCGTATCTGGCTCTGTCCCCCACCGAGGACTAGTGGGCACCTTCTGAGCAGGAGGGTTCCAGGCAGGCCAGGAGTAAGGGACTAGCTAGTCGTGTGGCCAGGGCCGGCCCCTCTAGCAGCTGTGTTGTTTGCCCTGACACCGGGGAGGGGCTGCACCTCAGCCTTTTGGTCCTTCCCCTTCAGCCTCTTGGGGTACCCTGAAATGAACGTAGTGAGGTACACACACATCCCTGCCTGGGGCAGCCCTGACCCCCAGTGTAGGGGATCCCCAGCAGCTGCTGACCTCAGATGAGTTCTGTGCCACTGTGGGCAGCGCCTGGGGTCTCTGTACCCACCCCAGGGACACGCCTGGCTGCAGGGGTGAGGCTGATGGGCAGCTCACCAGAGAGCCCCCCTGGACTCTGGGACCCCCACCGCCAGACGGGTTTCCTGGCTACCAGGATTCAGTCACCAGTAGCCAAATACAATTTGGTCCCCGAGTTTTGGAGGGACTGTCCTGGTCTGGCTGGGGAATGGGAGCTTGCCTGTGGGGTTGGGGTGGGGACCCCAGCAGGTGTTTCTAACCCTTAAAATGGGGTGGCTGGGAGGGGTGAGAGCCTTGGAACCACGAGCGGGGCAACTTGTAACTTCATGCCTCCAGAATGCATCCGTTTAATAGAAGGTTCCAGCACTGACAGTACCAACCAGTAAGGAACCAGCAGCAAAGGACGCAGGACGACGCTCCCGATGTCAGCCGCCGCCCGGGATCTCGCCTTGCTAAGAAGGTCCTCTCCCTCCACGTGGCCCAGCCCGGAGGCTGAATTGTGCTTCACAAGTCAGGGGTTTAGAAAACGAGGCTTTGCTTTAAAAGGTAAGTGTAAAACGGTCCGTGGAAATGCACCATCTTCCACCCAAACGCCGCCCAGACGCCGTGGCCGGGAAAGTTCAGTGTGAAGTAGAGGAAATGGCGTCTTTTTCTGCTCGTGACCTTCAGAAAGGTCCTTGGCAACAGGGCCCTCTGGGGCACCTGGGGATGCACCCCTCACACACGCCCGGCTTCCCCGGGCCCTTTGCTGCTTCTGACTTCCAGAAGGGACTCAGGACAGCAAAGAGCAGAGGGTACCCCTCACCGGCCCCACAGAGTGCAGCACGGCAGCCCCGGGCCCCAGGCCTCGGCTGGAAGGAAGTGAGGCTGCTTGGCCATGAAAGCTCAGGCTGGCTCTGAGTTGGGTGTGGCCCATGCAGGGCTCCTGGGTTCTCTTCCCCTCCCCATGCACCCCAGCCAGCCCCACCCTCCAGGACAGCCTGGGCTCGGCCCTGCGGGGCGTCTGGTCCCCGCGTTGCCCTCCCAGCCAGCCCTGGTCACGAGTTACGGTACATCTGTGTAAAGAGACGTGGACTGCATCGGTCTGTAAAAATAGGTTAAAAAACTCTCCTCACTAGCCTGCAGGTACCCGAGGGCGAGCTGGCCCTCCCCCCGCATGAGGCGCTCCTTTCCAGGGTGGAGTCCCAGGAGCCACGGTGAGCAGAGTGTGGCATCCCCAGGGTCACGCTAGTGCCACTGTGTCCTCACACGCTCCTCCACGTCCTTCCTGAGGACCCACCAAGCTCTGGGCTTGGTGGCCCGAGCTCCGTGCAGGGCTGGCTCAGAGCTGCGTCTCGTCGCGAGTCTCGGGGTTGCAGGACGATAGCTTGTGGCTGCAGCTGCTCTTCCGGCTCTCGGAGCTGCTGGCCACGTGAGCCAGGGGGTCAGAGCGGATGAGATAGCTGCGGGAGGGCAGAGGGAACCCTGGAGTGGACGTGGGCCAGGCAGCCCCTGCCCAGCAGCCCCACTGTGGTGCCTGTGGCCTCATCTCCCCAGTGCCCACCTGGTGCTCGAGGGGTCTCCACACAGCCCGCAGGTGCTACTCACACAATGTCGCTGGGCTCCAGCCTTGTGTCGGGCGGAGGGTTGATGAGGACGTAGGAGAGGGTGTTCTGATGGTCGTTCATCTCGTCTGCAAAGGACACAGCCGGGCAGACGTCACTCCCCAGCCCTCCCCCTCCCAGCTCCGCAGGGGCCCGGAGGTGTGGGGGGCTCCAGGATGAGCTGAATCTTTCCGGCCTTCCTGACCATTCTGCTCCAGCACCTCATCCTGGTGAGCCCAGCCAGGGCCCATCCCCACATTGGGCAGGGGCAGCCAGGAGGGCAGCCGGGAGCCAGCTCCGACCTGCATCCCCCTCCGGTGCCAGGTGGCATCACAGCAAAGGGGTGGGCCTGAGCAGAGGCATGAAGCACACCCGTACACACCAGCACACACCTACGTCTACCAATAGACATGTCTATTCACCTCGCATGCATGCATGCCTTCATCTACACCTGCACACACCTGTGCACACACCCACACAGAACTACACACCCCAACCCCCATACACACCTAACACCTGCACACACCTGTGCACACACCCACACAGAACTACACACCCCAACCCCCATACACACCTAACACCTGCACACACCTGTGCACACACGCACACACCTGCAGATTCACCTCTGTGTCCCACACACTTGTGTCTATCTGCACAGATCTTCACAGCCACCCATACCTATGCTATCCACAGACCCCTGCACACTCACTCGTATACACACCTGCACGCCGTCCTCCACATTCACACACACCCACCTCGGACTCCAGAGGCTGCTCAGCCCCGTCCCTCCCACAGGGCCCTGCAGCTGCCGCCGTCCCTGGGCCTGGGCAGGCCACTCCCACTCGCTGTGCTCAGCCCTTTGCTTCAGACTTAAGTCCCAAGTGGCATCAGCCCAGACTAGCCCCCAGCTCATTCCTCTGAGAACACGGCCCTGCCCCTCATGGGAGACAGCCTGGCGTCTGGCTCATGGCGTGGGAGTGCGGATGTGTCCCACGGGGTGAAAACAGTCCTGGAGAAACACCCCCCCCATCTCACAGTCTCCGTGGGGCCAAGCACAGGGAGGGAGAGCCCACCATCCCAGCAGTGGCCCTGGGTTCACTGGCCAGGAGGGAAGGGCCTGTAGCCTCATCCATCTGATGATGTCTAAGGGAACCTCCTGGATTCCTGTTCCGGGACTCCAAGGACAGAGAACAAAGGTGACCCAGGACACGGGAACCCCAGGGAGCCTCCACCCTGGCTGCCGCCATTCCCTTCTCTCTGCCCGTCCTCTCCCCTTGGGACAGCCCTGCCATGGCCCCTGAGAGAAGTCAGGGAGGCTGCTGGCCAGCCGGCGGGGGGGCACGCTGGTCCCCCTGCAGTGGGGGCTTCAGAGGTCCCACAGTGTGAGCACAGCTGCTGCCAGGGAGGCGGGGGCACAGGCTAGGACCTGGGGGGTGACCTGGACAGCTCTGCCTCTGGCCTTTTGCACATGGCGGCAGGTCACTTGGTGCCAGCTCCTGTGTCCATGCCTGCAGGATGGGACGGCCTGACACCTGCCCCTCACAGCTGTTTGGCTCTCTTCCCAAAACCCATGGCAGGGTCTTCCTCACATTGAGGCTGTGCAGGGAGGCACACCCTCCCCCTCTTGTGCCCACACACACCTCTGGGGTGGCCGCATGGCAGGTGGTACAGGGAGCAGTGGTGTGGGCGGCTCCAGTAAGTACTTGCCCCCACTGCCTGACTGGCTTTGTGATGAGCACCCAGTGGGACACCAAGAACAAGGGGCCACCAGCTGGTTTCACTCCGGCAGGCACAGACTGGCCCCCAGGCCGCAGCTTTTCCCCCTGGGGTGCCTGGACCACACGCTTCTGAAGCGAGCAGAGCACGTAGCTGGGCTGAGCCAGGCTGGGCTGGGTGGTGGGTGGGGACGCTGGGTCCCAGCTGCAGCGCCAGGGGCTGGGTTGTGGTCAGTCACGTGGCACTGGTCCTGGCTGCCCAGGATGGGCACAGAGGACTAGCTTCGCATGTCCACTGTTCGGTGAAGGCTGGCAGCAGGTGGGCCTGGGGTGAGGCAGGGGCTGGCTTTGGCCCTTCTGGTGAATGTCCTGGGGCAGGGTCACCTCACCCCTGGTCCCCAGGGCTACCTGACGCCTCCACCCAGACCCTCCAACCTTCACTCCAGGCCTCAGTGGTACCTCTGCTCCTCACCCGCTTCCTGACACTGCAGGCCTCAGAACTTCCAGACCCCTGGCCCTTGGCATCCACGGTCACTCCTGCCTGAATCCCCCACGCCGGACCAGAGCTGCCGCCACCTGAGCCTCAGTTTCCTCCTCTGTAAACTGGGAGTAACTAGTGCCTACCCCCAGGGCAGCCGTGAGGAGGCGTGCAGACGGGTTCTGTGTATCGGGGCTGAGGTGGCTCTTCCTGCTGTGTGGGGTGGGGGCTGCACGCTGGATGGGCCCCGGGATGCTGCCCACCCTCCCTGCAAAGACAGTGACTCTTCCTGGCCTAGGGTCTGCTTGAATCCAAACAGCGGGGTGCAGCCCCCGAGCCCCAAAGCCCCAGCACCTTCACCATCCCAGGCATGTAGGCCGAGTGCCGCGCGAGTCCTGTGAGCCCTCGACCCCCAAGCCTGCCGTGGCCGCGCCTGCCCTAGAGCCGCAGCAGGAGCCGCAGGAAGCCGTGGCGGGTGAGGGGAGCGGGAAATGCAGGCGTCCCACTCATGAAGGCTCATGAAGGCCACTAGCTGCGGGTCCAAGCGCCACAGTGCCCGGCAGACCAAGGGTCTTCCATGAGCGCCATCGTAAGGAAAAGCATAGAACCGGGAGAGGCCGACGCTTTACTTCCGTGGCTGCTCCAGGCCTAGCCCTGCCCCCGGCTGCAAGGCCATCCTGGCAAACACGTCCCTCCCAAGCTAACACCTGCCTGGGCTCAGGAGGCCCTTCAAGCTCCTGGGTTACCCTGTAGAGAGGGGTGGCAGCAGGGACAGGGTCTGAGCTCCCCTGAGGCTGCCAGGACCCCAGGGAGCGCCCCGGCTGGGACTCTGCTCTGAGCACTGACGGGGCCCAGCATGTTCTTGGAGGAAACGGGGTGCTGGGCGGCTGAGCACCCAGAACAGAATGGGGTGTGGAGCGGCTCTGCCCCAGCCGAGCAGGAAGAATCCCCTCGTGGAGCCCCAGCTGGGGGACGAAGGTTACCATCCACCTCGCCTGGGCAGCCACAAAGCCTGCCCACTCCTAGCGGCTTGGACTCCCCACCCCTGCGTCCAGCCCAGGCTTCACCGAGCTCCTCCCGGGGCCCTGGCTTGGGACCATGTGGGTGCTTCCTGAGAGCAGAGGGGCTTAGGGTCCTCAGACTGCTTGAGGGGCCAGCCTCAGGGAGGGGCTGGCTGTAGGCCAGGGTGGCCTACCGGTCCCATCAGGGCTCATCGTAAACAGCAAAGCAGGAGAAGCACCAGAGTGAGCCCGAGAGCTGCGCAGTTGCCACTCTGCCTGGCGGCCAACAGCACCTTGACCAGCACAAGCCCTGGACCTCAGCCTCAGGCCCGTCCTCAATGCCCAGCCAGGGGACACTGTCAACATGCGAGGCTTTGCCCAACAGGGCTGCCTGGGCTGACACCTGGGACGTGCTCTCACAACTCCCGTCCACCTGCCTGGCCGGGACGGGGCACGGCAAGGCTGCCGGCGGCGAAAGGTTGGTGAGCCCTGTGGTGCAGCGGTCGGCACCCGCCAGAGCAGAATTACCTTGCAAATATCCCAGGTTTACCCGATTCATGACATCACTGGCTGTTAAATTTGCTACGTCCTCTACAGAACACACAGAAAGAGGCACAGACAGAAACAGAGAGAGAGAGAGTGTCAGCAAGCGAGGTGCGGGCGGGCGGCCGGCACAGCGGGCGGGTGCGGGGGCAGCTGCACGGGAGGCCGGCCACCCCAGGACCTGCAGCCAGCGCCAGCCACCGGAAGCGAGTCGGTCACCAGAAACGCAGTTGCTCCTCCCTTGCCAAGCTCTGGGGGCAGGCAGCAGTCGCAGAGGCAGGCACCAGCTCTGGGGGTGGCCGGACCGGGCTGGATCATCCTCTGCCAACAGTCAAAGGGGGGCCACGAACGCGAACGCCAGGCACCCCTCTCAGCCCTGGAAGCCCCCCCTGAAAGGGCATGAAGCCCCTCCTGGGACAGGGACACTATGGGGACGGAGGGAAGCTTCAAGGCAGGGACAGGGGGGCGTCCTCCACAGCACCCACGGGGCTGGGGGCCGGGAAAGGTCTTCATGGGCCACCTGTTCCCCAAACCCTGGCCTCTGAGTCTCCTTCGGGCCCACAGGCCGGCCCAGCCCAGTGACCTGTGAGCAGCTCCTGGGCCAGCCCTGAGCTTCTGACTCTGCTCAGGGGACTTAAGACCTCGACCCAGGTGACCGACGCAGGAAGCAGGGTTGGGAGACCGGGCACCCCAAAGGGACAGAGGCAGCCCTGAGCATCGGGCATGTCCCCGAGATGGAACAAAGGGAGGATGGAGCCTTGACACGGCCCAGGGGTGGATGTCACTGGGCAGCGGCCCAGTGCTGGGGAGCTGGGGCCCGTGGCCTCATCAATGGAGGTAGCGTCTCTAGAGGGAGGGAGGGAAGGGATGAGTTTCTCTCCTCGCCAGGCAGGGCATGTAGGGCCCCCAAGCCCAAGCACATTTCCCACTACAAGGCGCAGAGAGACGGGGTTGTGCGGATCTGTTGCTAAAGACGGATACCGGGCTCCCTGGACCGCAGGAGGGGCTGTGCCGTGGGAGTGGCAGCAGGCCCATGGTGGACAGAGGTATGTCCTGCTATGGGCTGTTCCCCCAGTCGTTCCCCCAAAGACAAGGTCCCCCCTACCCTGGCTGCTGGGAGGGCTGGGGCTCCAGGAGGGGGTCCCCAACAGAGTCTTGTCCTCTGCGAGAACTCAGGGGCCCTGGGTATCCTCTGTCCAGCAGGACTAGCTGCAGCCTGCTGGCCCATCACTAATGGACGCCCTTGACTCGGGGAGCCCAGCCTGGCCCTCTCCACCCCACAGCTGCCTCCCCTGGCTGAAGGGTTCAGCCAGCTCCTGTCTCTAATTTGGCAGAGAGGGAAACTGAGGCCTCAGGGCAGTGGGACAGAGTGCCTCCCTATGGGGCTCAGCACCAGCGCTGCCGTAGGGTCCTGGGGCCTCCCAGCACCAGGGTGGGCCATGGCCACTCCCCTCCTCCACCCTCCTCTGCACAGGACCTCTGCTGGGCCGTGGTGGTGGTGCCCACAGCTGATCCCACAGTAGGGGCAGGCAGCGCGTGGCCAGAAAGGCTGACTGACAGGATGGCCCAGGCCCCGGGATGCCGTGGCCGACTGTTCCTGGCCCAGTCTGTCTGTCCTGCCCCCACCCACGCCGGGCGCCCTTACCGTAGCCGGTGGTGGGCAGGCCCAGGTGTTTCATGCGGTTCTTCACCAGCTCGGAGAGCTCCTGGCGCTCAGAGCGCCGGTACAAGCTGAGGCGCTGCTGGCTGATCCACTCCGCGGCCGCCGCCCGGCCTGCCTGCTTGGGTCCCTTGCGGCTCAGCCTTCGGGCCCACTGCAGACTCTTATGCCGCAGCAGCCGGTGCTCCGCGGGGTCACTGCCGCCCGTGTGTCGGCCGTGGGAGCTGCCTCCAGTGCCGGCGCGCGAGCCCCAGGGCCCCCTCGCTTCCCGTGTGTCCTCACAGTCCTCCATGTTCACCGAGATCTGGGACTGGGTAGGGCGGGGAGGGGTGAGGCTGCGGGGAGGGGCATGGGCTTTGGGGCAGGGGCTTAGGAGGAGGTGTGGGCTTAGGAGGAGGTGTGGGCTCTGGGGCTCTGGGGCTCTGGGGCTCTGGGGCTCTGGGGCTTGGGGCCCGCGTGGGAGTGGCTGGGGGTGTCAGGGAAGAAGACGAGGACAGACCCCAGGGTGCATGTGCCTCCCTCCTCTGGAAAGAACGTCGTGCCTGGTCCGAGGTTTCCTTCTGAACTCAGACTGCCGGGCCACCCGCCCTGCCCGGGCCTGCTCAAGGGATTCGCCAGGCTACTGAGGGCAGCTCGCTTCACCTCTCTGGGCCCTTCTTTCTGTGGGTCCGGCTGGGGACCCATCTGGACCCCAGGACATCTTGGCCTTGCCCTGGGGGGTCACCCCCTCTGCGTGCCAACTTCTCCATCTGCAGATGGGCCCTGGTCCCTCTTGTAAACACGCCCTTCGGAGGCCCCGAACCGGGAGAATGTGAGGTGCCAGGGCCTGTGGGGTGTGGGGTGCTGGGAAAAGGCAGGGTGTCCCCCACCTGGGCGGCACCTTCAGAAAGGCCTGGGAGGCTGGGGGCTGGATGGTCAGGCCAGAGGGGTATTGGGCTGCCTGCCTTGGTGGGGCCTGGGGGAGCCAGGGCTGGGCCTGGGAGGGGCGGGGGTGCAACTGGTGTCCAAACTCACAGGCTACTCCCCCAGGCCTCAGTTTCCCCACCAGTGCAGGAGGGAGTGACTGTCAAGAGCCTTCTCTGAGCCATGCTGGGGCCGACACATCCACGGGACCCACTCCCGCCTCGCCTTCCCCAGGGCCCTGTGGGTGGGTAGGTGGGTGGGTGGGGCCTGGCAGGCTTCTCCACGTGAGGCTTCGATGCTCTGGTGTTCGGCAGAGGCTGTGTGGGCGCAGAGCGGGTACTCACCTGGGCTCTGAGGTCGTGCGGCTGCAAAGGAAATAGGCACAGTCTGGGACCTGTGGGCGTGCCCCTGTCCCCCTACGCCGCCTCAGCCTGGGGTCTGCATGGAACACGCTTAGGGCGGGCAGGCACGGTGCCCACCGCTGTGTGGGCTGCAGCACAGGGGCTGCCCATCTTCTTCCTCAAGCCTGCCCTGAGCCTCTCTGCCCCCAGTAGGGGTCGTGGCTGCTCCAGCTGGAAGCACTGCATGTGGGCACACAGACCAGACGGAAAGAGCTGCCGGCAGGGGCAAAGCTGACCTAGTTCCCGACACTGAAGGTGGGGATGGCGTGGGTCGCACAGGACAGGGGCTGCCACGGTCCCAGCCCCCGGAAGGTGGGGATGGCGTGGGTCGCACGGGACAGGGGCTGCCCCAGAACCTCCGAGGTGGAGAAGACGTGGCTCTCTGTCCGGTAGATGCCGATGGGGATCTCGGCGCTGGAGGAGCAGAGCTTCTGGAAGAGGCGGCCGTACGTGCGGATCCACAGGTCGCCCTCGGTGATTTTCATCTGCAGGGCAGGAGCCCTGAGTCGGCCAGGGCAGGTGACAGCACCCAGAGCCTCCCAGCCACTGAATCAAGGGCAGGTGCCCATCCACCCACTCGGGACAGCCCAGCACACCCCAGCCCGGCCCGGCCGGGGGCACTTACGGCACAGAGGTACCCCGAGCCCGGCGTGGTGTCCAGGCCCAGCAGCAGCCGGGTGATGGTGATCATGTAGTCCTTCACAAAGGACTGGCCAGGGAGGGAGGGGGCCACAGCGAGGCACATGAGCATGGGCGTAGGACACAGGTCCACACCCCCCCGGCCACAAGCTCGCCCCCCCTCACGCACACACACAACCACCAGGTACCCAAGCACCACATGACCCACAGGCAGAGTTCTGGAACGCCTTTTCTAGGAAAACGCACTTGCCAGGCACCCATAGGTCAAAAAGGGCCCAGAAATCCCCGGGGCAGGGACAGGGCCCACAGGTCTCCTTGGAATCCAGGGAAGGTCGTTCAGAGGGAGGCCTATCCCTCCGAGTGGGGACCAGGCTGCAGAGCCGAGGGCGTGATGGGGGTCCCACCCACGAGGGCGTGACGGGGGTCCCACCCAGGCGCCCCCCTCCTGCTGCCGCTTCCCAGCTGACCTGGTAGAGCAGCGTGTCCAACATGCTGATGCTGAAGACGCGGCCGGCGGCAAAGGGCAGGCGGAACATGAAGGCCAGGTTGGAGCCGTTCTCTCGCTCCCTCTGTGGGAAAGGAGGGGCCTCAGATGGGCTGGTGCTGAGGTCCCTTCAGTGGCACGGCAGCCACGGAGGCGAGGGCACTGTGTGTGTGTGCACACGTGTGCACCATACATGTGTGTGCATGGGACCTGTGTGCACATGTCTGCATGTGTGCACACACCAGCAGGCCTGAACCAGTTGTATCTTCCCAGACACAGGGCAAGAGCCCGGGAGCAGTGATATGGGGCTCTGACGAGAAGACGGACTCCCGGCGGCTGCCACAGGTACTGCGTTTGGTCAGGTGCCCTGCTCTTGCTGTCCTGAAATTCCAGATCCTCCTGATAATCCTCTCCCGCCCTGGCGTTTTTTAAGTGGTGTCGGAGGGCGCATGGGGCCTGGGCTGAGGAGGAGCAAGCATCGGGCTGCCTGCTGTCCTTGGCCTCCTGTCCCGGTGCTCCAGGCTCACAATGGACCCGCTGTGTGAGTTTCCTGGGGCTCCCGTAACAAATGACTGCAAACTTAGCAGCTAAAACGGCACCTGTCTCCTCTCTCCCGGTTCTGGATTTAGGAGTTTGAAGTGTCTCTGGCTGGATCCAGGCCCGGACAGGGCCCTGCTCCCTCTGGATGCCTGGGGGGCTCCTTCTCTCGCCTTCTCCAGCTCCTGGAGGCCGCCTGCCTTGGCTCGTGGCTCCCTCTTCCCTCTTCTGAGCTGGCTGTGCAGCTGCTTCCCACCAGACAGGGACCTCCGGCCTCTCCCTAGAAGGACCCTGATGGCGTGAACCTGCTGGATGCTCCAAGGGAATCTCTCATCTCGAGGCCCGTGACTTAATCCCATCTGCAGAGGCCCTTTTGCCAGGTGAGATGGTACATCCACAGGTTCCGGACTCGGCCGTGGCCATCTCTCGGGCCATTCTTCAGCGGACAGCCCCAGCCCTGGAGCTTGGCCTCCAAGCAAGTGTGCACAGGCAGGCGTGTGCGCCCACGGAGGCCACACTTCCCCCTGGAACCAGAACTCGATTCACAGATAAAAGAAATGACGGCGACAGGACAATCAGGCAGAAGCCCCTTTTCCTCTGGGTCCGCCCTTACTCAGTGGCCGGCGGGAAGGCTGGGGCGTGAGACACAGCGGAGTTAGTTTCCTGCGGCGTTCCCGCTGTTGGAGCAAGAACCAGGTGTGATGAGCTGCGACGGGCGTGTGAGTTTGCAATCACGGTGATTTGCATCCAGAATTCCAGCTGCGCTTCATGGAGATGAACGTGAAATTCCTGAACGACTTGCCATTTTAATTTTTCCTTTACTCAGAACAACGCTCAACAGGAAACAAGAACCACGACAGGGCCAGAGAGAGACGTGGAAGGAAGGAAAAAGCTGATGTTTCAGGACCTTCCAGAGATTTCCTCCTGCTTTCTGGACGAGAAACCCACTTCTTTGTGCTGCTGAAGGCCCGGCAGGTGGCGGCCCTGGAGGGACAGGAGAGCTTCAGCAGGGGCTGAGCGGGTCCCGTTCACAAGTGACAGCGAAGACAGGAGCACACAGGGGTGGATGAGCCCTTCCTGAGAACGAGATCCCCGGTCAGAGGGAGCAGGGCAGGCACCGTGCAGCCCCGGGGCGGGCAGAGCCAGCCTGAAGGAAGGCTCCTGGTGAGGAGAGATCACACAAGCTGACCATGTGAAAGCAATGAAGTGGCAGAGGCGTCCTGGGTGCTGGAGACCAGGGGAGGTGGACGGCGGGGGAGGTGGACGGCGGGGGGAGGCTCCTCTCTCACACTGGGGCTCTGAGAACCTTCCGGAGCCAGCCCTCAAGGGAGGATGCATGTCAGCCCGCCAGCAGCATCCTTAATAATAGTTTTATTCTTTTGCTTTGTTTTTTGAGACAGGGTCTCACTCTGTCGCCCAGCCTGGAGAGCAGTGGCACAATCTTGGCTCACTGCAACCTCTGCCTCATGGGTTCAAGCAATTCTCCTGCCCCAGCCTCTCAAGTATCTGGGATTACAGGCGTGCGCCACCACGCCCGGCTACTTTTCGTGTCTTTAGTAGAGACAGGGTTTCTCCATGTTGGCCAACCTGGTCTTGAACTCCTGACCTCAGGTGATCCGTTCGCCTTGGCCTCCCGAAGTGCTGGGATTACAGGCATGAGCCGCTGCGCCCGGCCATTAAATTTTTGGTATAGATGGGGACTTGCTATGTTGCCTGGGCTGGTCTCGAACTTCTGGCCTCAAGTGATCCTCCTGCTTCAGCCTCCAAAAGTGCTGGGATTATAGGCATGAGCCGCCGTGCCCGGCAGAGCATCTCGCCGATGGCCTGTATGCCATCTCCACCTCCTCCCTTTTTCCTTCCTGAGTCATGCCTGGAATCCTGTCTTTATCATTCCACTGTGCCTGGATGTAGAAGATGTTGGCTGCAGGGATTTGGGGTAACTTTTTTTTTTTTTTACTTTCAGTATTCTTTGAAGTAAAATACATAATGTACTAAACATGTACATTTTTATAATAATAATTAATGCCAATTTATGTCTTTTTTTTTTTTTTTGAGACAGAGTCTCGCTCTGTTGCCCAGGCTGGGGTGCAGTGGCCGGATCTCAGCTCACTGCAAGCTCCGCCTCCCGGGTTTACGCCATTCTCCCGCCTCAGCCTCCCGAGTAGCTAGGACTACAGGCGCCGCCACCTCGCCCGGCTAGTTTTTTGTATTTTTTAGTAGAGACGGGGTTTCACCAGGTTAGCCAGGATGGTCTCGATCTCCTGACCTCGTGATCCGCCCGTCTCGGCCTCCCAAAGTGCTGGGGTTACAGGCTTGGGCCACCGCGCCCGGCCTAATGTCTTTTAAATAAGGGTCTGAAGCTGCCACAGGTGTCCCTCTTGGAAGCAGGTCACCGTATGCTGGCCTGTCAGAGAGACCCACGGGGAAGCTGGGGCCAAGGCCACCCAGGCTGGTGAAGACGCGACCCCTGGTTCCTTCTACAGGATCCTTGCATGCCAGGGAGGCAGATCCCAGCCTCCCCAGAGGGCGATGGGTCAGGTGGTCCACGGCGCCCTCTCTTCCCTGGCCCCACGTCTCTGTATATGCCTGGCCCTGCCCAGGGCCCAGGGTGTCTGTCCCACGTGGACCCCAGTACCATGTCAGCCCAGAGGAACTCACGGCTGCTTCCAGGGGCTTTGCTGGCGTCCTGACTTCTCCTTGGAGGACTTCTCCCTGACTTCTCCTTGGTCCCTGTCACACAACTGCCACAGAACCACATGACTGGAGCTGGAGCCCAGGACTGTTCACTGCCCTGAGATGGAGAGCTGGCCGCACCCGCCCTGGCAGCACAGGGCCCCGGTGGCGGTGAAGCTGGGGAAGGAGGAGCTGGGGCTCCACAGCGGGCGGAGGGTGGGTGATTGGCGATGGCTGCCTGGTGGGAAGGCAGGTAGGAGCGTGTTGGCCGCGTGCTTGCTAACCCAACCTTCAAGCCACCTTGTGGGACAGAGAGGTGCCAGGCTGAAGCCAGAGGAGCCGCACCAGGATGACTACTTGGATCCCGACTGCACGGCAACCTCCCGGTCCACACTGGGTCAGACTTGGTCTTCCAGATCCGGAGAGTCCTCCCAGCCCTGGGGAGCGGCTGGGTCCCTGAACACAGAATCCTGCAAACATCTTCCCCTTGCACGGTTCGCGCTGCAGAGCACACCCCTCTGCCGGCTGAGCGGGGACTGGGGCCAGGAGCTCCCGACACCGGGCAGGGCAGGCTCTAGGGTGGGCTTGGGTGGTGGGCAGTGCAGACAGAGCCCCCTCCTGTGGTGAGACCAGCTGCCCGAGCATCCCCCTATGCCTCAGGCTGGCATCTCCGAGGCAGGTGCCCCTATTGACCTGGTGGCTGACCAGCCCGGCCTCCTCGCGTCTCTCTGGGGCAGAACCGACTCCAGGATCCCTATGGGCTCTTGGTCCGTGGCTGGCCGGAATACACTTTCACTCTCCATCAGGTTCAGGTGGGACAAAGCCGTGTCCGTGTCGCAGGCAGTGCCCGTGTGTGTCCTCTGCCTGGTGTCGGTGGTCAGGCCTGGCCTGGCTCAGTAGTTCCTCCACGGTGTCACACTCCTCCAGCGACGCAGGCCCCAGCAGCTCGCCGAAGACGACTTCAGCCCAGACCGGTGAGCTCAGGGTTTGTGTGGAACAGACACGGTGAGGACTTCAGCCCAGACGGGTGAGCTCAGGGTTTGTGTGGAACAGACACGGTGAGGACATCAGCCCAGACCGGTGAGCTCAGGGTTTGTGTGGAACAGACACGGTGAGGACATCAGCCCAGACCGGTGAGCTCAGGGTTTGTGTGGAACAGACACGGTGAGGACATCAGCCCAGACGGGTGAGCTCAGGGTTTGTGTGGAACAGACACGGTGAGGACATCAGCCCAGACCGGTGAGCTCAGGGTTTGTGTGGAACAAACAGCATTGCTGCTCCTGACCAAGGTGCCCGCTCCCTGGTCTCAGCCTAGGGCTGGCCGGGCGCCGGCCCCCGTGTGGACAAGGTGGTGCTGCCCCAGCCTCAGCAGGTGGGGAATGGGTGGGGCTGGGGTCAGCCAAACATCTAGACAACAGCCACAGTGCCTGCGCCCCTGCGTTCCACACCTGAGCCTGGGTGGTGCTCGTCATGGAGCTCCCGGGGCGGAAAGCCAGTTCCAGCCCAGCCACTTGCTACACTGTGCGATCCGGGCTCCTTCCCTCTCAGGCCCTCGGTCCCTTGTCAATACAAGGAGGCAGTGGTTACAGTGAACCTGTTTCAAGGTCGGGCATAGCGGCCGGGGCAGCGGAGGAGTCTGGAAGGGCACAGCTGTGTGTGTTACTTGTACTAAGAGCTACCGGCCCAACTATGTGGAACCACCAATCTGAGGGCTCCCTACGGGGGTTCTGACCAACTGACCATCCCATAACAGATGGCCCTGGCCTCTAGACACAGCCGGGCCCGGTCCCTGCTCAGGGAGACGGAGGGCTGCTACGGGCCACATTCCCAGTGCCCCACACGAGGTCAGGGCAACGCCCTGCCTCCACCTCCTGGCTCCACCATGAAGAGCCCCCTGTCCACGCTGGGCTCCCCCCTTCTCCTGAGCTCCCCAGCAGGAGGGGGCAGGAGCCCTGCCTCCCATGGCACTGGCCCCCTTTCCCCGAGCCCCTTCCTCCCACTCTTTCTGGGCTCCAGGCGTGGCAGCTGGCACGGGGCAGGGCTGCTCACCTTTTCTAGTTTGGAAAGAGCCAGAGAGTAGCTGTCCTTGGCGCGGAACTGCATGAAGCGCATGTTGGAAGGGTGGGTGAGCTCCGTGGTGATGCTGAGGCTGGGGAAGAGCCTGGGGGAGGCGGAGGTGGCTCAGGGTGGGGCCGCGGTGGCTGTGGGGGTCTCAGGGCGGGGCCGTTGTGGCTGTGGGGGTCTCAGGGTGAGGGCCCATGATCGTGTGGCTGTGGGCGGGGTCTCAGGGCAGGGCCCATGGTCATGGCTGTGGGGGTCTCAGGGTGGGGGCCCGTGGTTGTGGTTGTGGTCGTGGCTGTGGGGGTCTCAGGGCGGGGGCCTGTGGTCGTGGCGGTGGGTTGGTTTGGAGCTGAGCCCCGGACGCTGGGCTCACCGGAACATGGTCTGCACGTTGACGATGGTCTTGGCGTCCGCCATGTAGTCCTCCTCAGCGCTCATGGTGCTCTCCTTGTCCACCACCACCAGGTTGTCCGCATAGATGATTCCGCACTGCAGCAGGCTGTCCAGGCTGGTGGCGGGGGTGGGACCGGGAGCCTATGGCTGAGGATGTGGCCCACTCCCCACCCACGGGCCCCCGGGATTTGGTCAGAAGGCAGGAGGACCTCAGCCCCCCACCCCACCTGCAGTCGGGGCCACCCCAGACTTTGGAAGGGAAGAGGAGAGGAGGGGAGGGGTGGGTGTGGAGCCCCCTCGAGCCACGGCCAGCCACGCCTTACTTGTCCACGGAGCCCTCCATGTAGTAGACCATGGGGAAGCAGCAGATAGCTTCCAGGAAGTGGTGGTCGGGCCTGTGGGGACAGCGGTCCTGGAGGGTCCCACCCGGCTCCAAGGCCCGCCCTCCCCAGGTCCAGTGGGGCCCTACCCTCCATGCGCAGAGCTGGGTCAGGCAGGGGTTCCCCAGAACCGCAGTGTATGGGACCTGGGGGGGTGCTTTAAGGCCAGTAGGCCACTGTTTATTTTATTCAAGGGGAAACCAAGGCCCGGGAGGGTGGGATTTGCTGAGGTCACACAGCCAAGATGACCCTGGGCTGAGCTGTCAGGGTCCCAGGGTCCCCTACGCAAAAAGGTACAAAAAGGGGTCCCCTAGGCAAAAAGGTGCCTGGGAGGAAGATCCTGGGGCTCAGAGTGAGTGGAGCAGGAGGCAAATAGGACAGGAGTGACAAGGGAGGAGGGGGAAAGGGAGAGAGATGACCAGAGTGGGAGGAGTTGGGAGCCACAGGAGTTGAGAGCAGGGAGGAGGTGGGAGACAGAGGAACTGGGAGTGGAGAGGAGCTGAGAGCTAGAGGAGCTGAGAGCCAGAGGAGCTGGGAGTGAGGAAGAGCTGGGAGCTGGCAGTGGAGAGGA